AGAAGCATCATCATGCCAAGTATTGGCAAGGATATGGGAAAGAGCTTGAATGCATGATAGACTGAGCTCATTTACTTCTCTTTATGACCCAGCACTTCCAGCCCAAGTCTGAATGAGAACATTGCAGCTTTATTTTCAAGAGCAGAGAGTTGGAAGCAATCTTGGAACTATTTCTAGGAGAATAGATGAGTAGACCATGGAAGATACATTCTATGAAAGACTATGCAGCAGGCAAAAAAGACTAGCTATTCTACATGGCAACAGAGATGGTCTTACAAACCAAATGCTGTGCTAATGAAGTAAGAAGCCGATAACATCTACATAAATGAAAACTCTACATACCAAGCAACAGCCCATAACTTTCATGGTAACAGAAAAATGAGGTATACAGTAAGCACTTTAGAATGGGCTTTCTGGTTTGGTCATGATGAAGAAGCTGGAACCAAAGCTGCCTTTCCATTGAAAGCTGTAGATTACAGGCGCATCCCTCCTAGAATGCAGAACAATTGCTGCAACATTGGCTAAATCAAGGCCTGTTTCTATATACTGGTACATACAGAGCTGACTATGGTATTTCCTTCTCTCTTCAGTGGACTCTAAGCACTTCCAATAAGGCCAGCTGGGGTACTGATGTGTAATCTTTGGGGCCGATCCGACAGTCTCCTTTTTCCTCATACAGTGCTTTCTGTAACAGATGAGTGCAGCAGGATGGCAGAGCCAGTCAGCTCCAGGAATGTCTGTGGATAGAAGCCTCAAAGTAAGAGGCTATGAGTCCCCAGGGCACAGAAGATCTTGTATCAGAAACTGGAGCAACAGCCTCCAAAAACAATTCAAATGGTACCTTAATTGAATTCTGAGTCCAGTTTATTTAATTTGTGTGTGTGTGTGTTTGTGTGTGTGTGTGTGTGTGTGTGTCCAAGGATTGAACTCATGACCTCACGCTTGCCAGGCAGGCACTAAATCCCCAGCTCCTCTTAATTGAATTCTGCATGTCATTCTCCCTGCATTTTTCAGAGATGCTTTTCTTCCCACCTGTCCAGCCAGCTCAAGTTACTCACGGAGTTCCCACCATCCTCACTGTCACTCATCCCTGAGCCACCCCCTTCTTCACAGGATAATAAATTCCAGGAGAGGCCTTGGATAAAGGCCTTTGTTCACACATCCTCACTGGGACCAGGCTTACCACTCTTGCCTGTCCTTAACTTTAAATTTGTCTTGGTGTCTTTACTCTCACCATTGGTTGCATTGGAGGTGGTAGATGGGAATTAACTTACCAGGATTCCAGTACCATCTCAATGGGATTACAAATATAAATTTTGGATTGTGAAGGAGACTGGAAAGGGGATTACAATACTTGGATTACAATATTCATTAGTTGGATTACAATAGAAAGCAACTGTGCTGCTCAACAAAGTATGAGGCAACTGTGGGCAGGTCTGTGGCAACAGGAAGCAGCGGGTTATTGTCGGCAAGGAAACTGAAGTGCATAGATGAGTTGTTCATTGACCTGGAGTCATGGCCCAGGGAGCCTCTCCTGCTCTGGTGCAGGGAGACAGGGCACAGGCAGAGCTGAGGAGGGAGAGTCTGGCCAGTGGAGGCTGGGGTTTCCAGAGCAGGGACCCAGAGAAGGGGAAGTGGCTACACAGAGGTGGGGCTCCCGGGCCTCCACGGGGATCTCCTGTTGGTCCTAGGCTGTTGTGATGTGGACAGTGAGGCTCTTGGGCTGCTGAGGAGCTGAGAGCTGAGTGAGAGGCTGGGGTCTGCACCGCACTGGGAGGTGAATAAGACTCTGGCCAGCCAGAGCAGTCAACTGCCCTACCTGATGCCCCAGAGGAGCTGTTCTCCAACTTCAGTGACTTCAGCTTATGTCAGGAGCCCTGAAAGGGACTGCTAATAGAGTTTCTGACTCAGTAGTTTGGAGGGAGGCCTGAGACTGTGACTGTTGATTGATTGAGAGAGATAGGGTCTCACTACGTAGCCCAGGCTGTGCTTGAACTCACCATGATCTTTGCTGCTTCCACCTCCCTAGTGCTGGAATGACACCTGTGCACCACCACATCCAGCAAGGATTTGTTTTTAACGAGTTCCCAGTGTTGGGGCCCACTGCCTTACAGGACAAACCCTAGAACTGAAGTCAAAATGGAAATAGATATTTCCCAAAAAAGTGCCCGACTAAGCCTACTAGAGTCACCAAGACACAATCGTGATGTCAGAGTCCTGACAAGACAGTTATACCCAGTACTTTCCACAAGAAAATAATAAAGCCAGCTTCATGCAATACTTCAGCCACAGCTTTGCAGATGTGATCAGCAACTGAGGTGAAGACGCAGAAAACTTGACTCTCACCTTTAAAAAAAAGTCAATAGGGATCTCAGGATGACTGGGAAGTTAGAATTACCAGTTAAAAACTTTAAATCAACTACGAGGATCAAGAATTTAAAGGAATAAATGGTTTTGAGAGGTGAACAGATGAGAAATGTCAGTGGTGAAATGGAAACCACATGAAAGAACCAAAGGGAAATTCTAGAAGAGCAGCTCTAAGCCCACGGTAACTCACTGATGATCTAGGTATAACAGGGCGTAAGGCACTGGAACAAAGGCCGGCAAATGTGAATACCAAATACTGGAAGGTATCTGATCTGAAGGACAAAAAGGAAAAGTTATTTAAAAAGTGAGATGTAAGCTAATATTTATTAGTTTAACAATGGTAGAACCAGAATCCCTGAACATGAAGAGAGCGAATTTGTCTGAAAAGATCTTTCAAGACCTACTTGGTCTAAATCCCCCGAATTAGGGAAAAAGCAAGTTAAAAAACTAGTACATTTCATCCAATAATTCCCAAGAAGGATGACCATAAATAGATCCAAAAGTTCTAAAAATAAAGATTAAGGACAATATTAAAAGTAGGCAGAGGAAAAAAGTCATGTTTCCTACTGGGGTAACAATGACACAATCATAGCTACCTTCTTTTGAGAACATGGTGTCTGGGTGGGAACAGAATGTCATCTTCAGAGTGCACCAAGGAAATACAGTCACTGCACAATGGCCAGCCAAGAAAAAATCCTTCAACAATGAGGAGAAACAAAGATATTTGCAAATAAATGAAGCTGCCATATTCTTTGGCAACTGAGCTATACTCAGATTCATTGAAAGAAGTTGTTCAGGCTAAAGTGAATTGGCACTGGTTATATAATCTGAATCTAATCACCAGGAAGCACCAGTGAAACCAAACTGAGGAACTGCCTGCCAGGTGATAGCAGCCTACATAGATGTAAACATCAGAAACACCAACTTGAGGAACTGTTCTTGCTTGACTGAGAACAAAGATAATTGGGACTCTGGATCCAGGGATTGTAAAGGACATTGTGTGGAAAGAGCAGAATTGGGAAAGAGTTGCAGGTTATTCTTAGGGATGATAAAGGCATTCTTAAGCTCCCAGTGTGACAGATGACGGGCATCATGCTTGTAACTAGCTTTCAAATCTGTCTACACCTGTACCTGTACCTACCTCTATCACTATAACTTGCTTATCTAAGTATCTTATCAGATGCCCGTATAATTGTACAACCATCCATCCTTCCATTCCCTCTCTTTCTCTTCTGTTCACTTACCTCTCTCTCCATCAATCCATCCTTCTATCCATCTGTCCACCTGTCTGTCTCTTCATCCACTGATCCACCCTTCCTTTCTCTGTCTCCCCACTCTCCCATCTGTCTCTCTGGAAGAATGATGAATTGAAGGTCCATGTGCCAGAATGCTGATCCCAGAAAGCCTGGAATTCTCTGTGCTTCCCTGCACATCCTGCCAGGATAAAGTGGGAGGGAATCACTGGGAGGAACCACATCAGTGAGGCTGGGGCTGGGGCCCATGGACCAGCATCCCAGGAGAAGAGGAGAGGGAGCGAGGGGGAGTGGGGTGTCCAGGCCAAATGGAGAAGGAGCTGGCAGGAGGATGGCAGGTGGCTGTCAGATAAAGCTGAAAAAAGACTGCCCGCTTTTTGGCTTTGTTGCGTGGAGTCCTCAGAGCCCCGCAGGAGGTGGGTGCTAATCTGCTCACCCTCCACTCACAGGGAAGGAGCCAGGAGGCTGGGGGTCATCCATTCAAGTGGCATCTACCTAGTGCTTGCTGTGCATCAAACATCGCAGCAGCTACACCGAGAACCATGAAGTGCGACTCTGTGTGTGTGTGGTGTGTGCACTTAGAAAACACTCCTGCAAGGAAATGTGTTACAACACTCCCACACTTACGCTACATTTGTGTGCTAGGATTTCTCGGGCCACCATGTTCTTCTTGGTGATTTTGATTGACTTAACGTTTCTATATTGGACACAAATTGCCTTTGTAATAACAGGGAAAATAAAGACTAATTAAGCAGGAAATTGAGGCATAGTGTGAAGCGTCCCTCCAATGAAATCATTATGGACCAGATATCATTTGTCAGTGTGATTTTCCCAAAGTGGTAGACCAGCTCCACCTTCTTCCACTCTGCAGAGAGGGCTGGTGTGGTCACGGTGGTAAGCTGGCAACCCATGACTCAGCACTGTCCTTTCTCTTTTTTCCTTGTGGAGACAGAAGTCTCAGATGGTGCGACCTCCTCCCTGGCCCATGACACCAGCTTATTTGCCTGAGGATGATGGGTGGACACAGTCAGTCCTACCCAAGGGACAGGGTGCAGGGTGCAAGGACATTAGCCGCCTATGTGTCCTTGTGTCACAAAGTGAGGCTCCTGTTGGTGGGCAGCTGTCCTAGGACCACCCCTCTGGCCACACTGTTGGATCCCTGTACGAGTCCACACACAGAGCTGGGGACTGTCCTCCCTGGCACCAGTGTCCTGAGGGCTCTAAGAGCTCACTGTGCACGGAGAAACCCACCCCTGCCATTGTGGAAAACTCGATCCCAGGAAATGGGGATCAACTTTCCAGCAGTAACGGGGTTCCAGGGAGAGTAGATTAGGGAGCAGCTCCACCACAGAGCTCAGCACGCACCTGAACCAAAGCCAGTGATTTTGAAATGATTTATTCACTGGGAAAGCGAAGGCAACATCCTGCTCTTAAACACAGCAGCAGAGCCATGAGCAGCACCAAGGGCCGCTGGGTTCCAGTCCCATCAGAAGGAACAACGGAATGAAAACATGTCCAAATACACAGTGGGTGTTGGGGGTGAGACTTTGATGGCTTCAGTGCTTGTTTCTTTCTTCTTGGTGTTTTTGGGCTGTTCCCAATACACTTTTTGGTGTTAAGAACAGGAATTTTAAAGACCTATACATCTGGAGGGAGGGAGACAAAGATGGTGAACAGGGTCCTTGGTTGGAGCTGGGCAGGCAAGGACAGCTTGGGTGTCTCACTCAGGGCCTCTCCTCTTCTCAGGACAGAGAGCTGTTTGCCCACCTGCCAGGCAGGCATCTTCCTGGCCAGCTGTCTCCCTTTATTCACTGCCAACGGCTCCTCCCCTGTACCATTTCCCAGTCCCTGTCAAGCTGACCATCCTGAGTTCTGTGTTCTCAGAGTCTCCGGAAGATGGGGAAATGGGGAAGGTGGCTATGCTGTCTCTAGGACTCAGCAGGGCTTCAGCATGGAAAATACCATTTTCAAGTTCATCAGAGCTGCTACAGTGGGGATTTTTACAGATGGCAGTGCTCCCAGACTGGGCATCCTGTTTGGACCCACGCCATTCCTTGGAGACCACACGCTCAGTCTCTGCACTGTCCCATTTCACCCATTTGTCCCTCTCTACCAAGGGGAGTCTTGGCCAGGTTGAAGCCATAGGTGACTGAGTTGAGACCAAATTTGAGCGTCCTCTGTACCAATGGCTGTGTTTCCATGTAGGCTGTGCAGGGTGTGCGAATCTGGTGAGGGTAGTAATGTGGCTTCCTCTCCCTGCCCTGGTGGCCAGCCTTGCAGGCCACTCCCACTGCGACTCACATTGGCCTGTATGCCTCTGAGTCAGAACACACCAGAGAGCTCATGCTCACTGGTGGATGGAGACGTGGAGCTGGCCCTCTCCAGACGGTCTCCAGCGATGAAGGGTAGGCATTTGGCCAGGTGCACAGCCACATTCTTCTGGAACAGTTGATGCAGGTACTTCCGGAACTTCTCGCCCACAAACACATAGATGATCGGGTTGACACAGCAGTGCGTGTAGGCGATTACCTCTGTCACCTGCAGGGCCAGGTCCAGCTGCCTGCTCTGCTCACAGAAGTTGGTGAACATGTGCTCCTGGAAAGCAGAAACAAACACAGCCAGGTTGTATGGGGTCCAGAAGAGAAAAAAGATGATCATGATGGTGAAGATCAGTCGGACGGCTTTGGCCTTCTTCTCGTTGGGCCTGCGGAGCAGGATGTTGATGATGCCCGTGTAGCAGATCACCATGACCACCAGCGGCAAGATGAATCCCAGCAGGTTCAGCTTCAGAGCCTGAAAACGTTGCCAGGCCTTCAGGCTTTCATTGGGGTAGTAGAGGCTGCAGGTGTGGCGAGTGATCTCCCACTGGGCCTTGGAAAAGTACAAGCCTGGGATGGAAGCCAAGATAGCCAGGACCCAGGTGACAACACTGGTGATGATGCCAAAGGTGACTGTCCGAGCTTGAAGGGCAAACACAGCATGGACAATTGCCAGGTACCTATCGATAGTCAGCAGGATGATGAAGAAGATCTCACTGTACAAGCCCACGTAGTAGAGTCCAGACAGGAGCTTACACATGGCGTGGCCAAAGACCCAGGTGTCCTTCAGGATGTAGTGGATCAAGAAGGGAAGCGTGAAGAGGAAGAGCAGGTCCGACACTGCCAGGTTGAGCAGGTAGATGCTGGTCATGCTTCGGAGCCGCTTGAACTTCATGAGGACCAAGACCACCAGGATGTTGCCCACCACGCCGATGATGAACACCAGAGAGTACAAAGGTGGCAGCAGCTGGGCCCCGAAGGCCTTCACAGCCACCTTCTGGCATGGAGTTGAGCCTGCATAGTCGTATTCAGTGGTCAGGCTGTAGTCCTCTGTGGTGGTGAAGCTCTCCATCCTGGCCTGCCCTGTGTGTCGAGGATAATGGGTTCTGTTACTTAGTTTTCTATCAGGGGTCAAAGACTCTGGGCAGGGCAACCAAGGCCATGGTTATGTTTCTCTTACTGCTTGACAAATGGTTATCCAGGCCCATTGCCTACCATGTACTAGGGACAAAATAGTGAGCCAGGAGAGAGACCCGGTCCTCTCTGCCCTGTGGACCCTCCAGTCCAGCAGCAAGGGCAGCACTGAACCATGCAACTGACCCAGAATCCCTCAGTGTGAGCTTCCACAGGACGAGCTCTGGGGCCCTCCCCACATTCCTGTGACCAGGGTTTCCCAAGCAAGTCTGAGGGCCAAGATTCCAGAATTAGTGTTCAATGACCTTTGTGGGGAATTTCTTGTACCTGTTTTATAGGGAATGGAGGGCTTGGAGGGGCTGAGCGAGCGGTAGGAAAGGTGCCTGAGGACACAGCTATGGGGAGCAGAGCTGGTGCTCAGCCCAGAGTCCATTTCACTCTCCTGCCTCTGACCATAAGGTGATGCCTTTGTCCCCGGAAGTCCCCAGAAGACTCTGGGAGGGAGAACTCACACAGAGAGCTCTGTGGCTTCTGCATCTACAAAGGCCAAAGATGTCCTATAAGGCAAAAGTGACTCGCTCCAAACCTCAGAGTGCTGCCACGGTGAGACGCCAGAAGCCGAGTCCATCACTCTGCAGATGAGGGCATAGGGAACTCACTGCTCAGAGTGGCTTGGGTCACGAGACCGCATGTGGCCCCAGTGGGAGCACAGGTCACTGCAGACCTGCTGGTCTGCTGTGGGGAGGATTCAGCTGGAAGCCCAGGCCCGTGTGTGTGTGTGTGTGTGTGTGTGTGTGTGTGTGTGTGTGTGTGTGTACACGCAGAGTTAGCAACAGCCTTGCCTGTGGGGAAATCTCACAGTGACCAGTGTTCTGGTGGATGTCCCTTTTCCATGATTGTCACCCTGCTGGGACACTGGGTTTACCATCTAGGCACTGATAGGTCTGAGCAATGAAGGACATACACTGGTGTCCTTCACTGGCTGGTGTTCACCAGCGGAAGTGATTTGACTCAACTGCCAGTCATCATCTCTGGGTGGAATCTGGCCAGCTCCAGCGCCTCTACACCTCTTAATGACATTTCCTGCTCTAAAGTCCTCTTGTCTGGCTTGGCTGGAGGATGCCAATGACCATTGCTGGCAGCGGGTGCCCTCCTGGAAGGGGCAGCTCTTGGTTGGGGTGGAAGACAGGGAGGACTTACATTTTCCATCTGACCCATTCCCGGGGCTCACTGTTCTGCCTCAACCTGCTCAGTTCTGGTTCTGAGAAGCCCAGGTGTCCCAAAGAGGCTGAGATTTTAGCTCTGTGCTTCCCCCACAGGCTGTGATGAGGACAAGGGCTCAGCCTGGAGATCTGCACTTTGGGGTTCCCATGAGCCCAGATTCTTGTTAGTCTGACAAAAGTGAAGAAAAGTTGAGTCACCACTGCCAGGTAACCGGATCCTGAGTCTGATTATTTCCTTAAAACTCCAGGCCCTACAACAACCCCAGGCACACTGCTCCTGAAGATGGCCTGGGAAGCGGGCTTGCAGGAGAAATGCAGGGACCCTGTTGCCATGGAACTTGCCTCAAGGTCACTGCATAGTAGTCAGCTGTCCCTGGAGCCTGAGGCTGCCCAGCCCCTATGCCCTCCAGTCTACTAGTCAGAGAAGTCCCTAAACACTGTTACGGTCATCCGAAGTGCTAAAAGCCCCTGAGGCTCTTCAGGAAATTTGTTCAGCGTTAAACCACCCTCGGATCTGCAATACTTTTTCTAACTAACATTTCCCTCTTGTGACAGTTTCTTCATATCCATATTTGGTTTTCCTTTACCGGGGGAAATGTGACAAGTAAGTCATTTTTAAGTAACTTCATGAAAGTCGCCTCTTTTCTCTTCAGTGTGACTGGCTTTATTAATCAGTCTCCAACAATAAATCATGTAAGGAAGTTTGCTTTTAGCAGGGCTTGGTGGCACACTCCTACACTCTGGGAGGCTGAGGCAGGAGGATCATGGAGCTTGAGCCTAGCCTGAGCAAAATCCTATCTCAAAAAAAAGTACTGGGGATGTGGCCTAGTGGGAAGGCCTTAATTTCCATCTCCGGTACCTCCGCACCCTACAATGTGCTCTGCACCTGAATACAATCCTTAGGATCTGTGCTGCCGAAGTGAGCAGTACGCAGAAGCCTTACAAGTCCGCTTAGCATGCCCAGGACACTGCACTATTCAGTGCCTTTCACTTACTCCTCTGTGTCACCTGGTCCACACTGCCTGACCCAGTAGCTTTACCAATGCACTGTAGACACCAGCCTGGCCCTTGGAGCGTTCCCTACCTCTTAGCAGCCCTGAAAATCCCTTGTTTAAACAGGGTCACTAATTTTTAAAAATCCATTTTATTCAAGGATTAAAAATTAAGAAAGGAAGAAAAATTAAAGCTACAACAAAATTTCAAAACAAGTCAATCGTAGGCAACAATGGCACATACACTGTGCATTATCATCCCCAAATCATTCACCCAGAGCACAGGACACAGCAGGGCTTAACAGAAGGCAAAGGCATAGCAAAGCCATGGATCACTTACCCTGGCTCCAAGGGGTTTGCCTTGTAGTGTCTTTATGCACTGGAGTTTCAAGGGTTCGGCCAAGTAGGAAATGCTCAGCTTCCTGTGAGGTGATGGACATGGGGCTCCAGAGTCCCCAGCTATCAAAAAAAGAAGCGGCTAGACTTCTGCTACACCCGGGTGCTCCTGGCCGGCCACACCGCCTACTCTGTGGCTGGGTTCATGGCAGGGACTTTCTTTGCTTGGTGGCTGTGGGTCCCACTGGACCCAGGAGGGTGGTGCTGTTGGGTTGGGGGAGGTGATAGCAAGGCTTCCCAGAAATTGTAGAGCAATCGGACAGCGTCCTGGGGAGGGGAGGGACAGAGTGGTGTGGATATCGGGAGGCTCTTTATTTCTTAAGCTCGCAGAGGGACGGATTTAAACCCTACATCTGTTCCTCAAAACCATTTGGCCAGTACTAGAAGCCTGAGAGAGGCAGCCACTTCCCTCGGGCAGCCTCCCTGTTCACTTTCTACTGCTCCAGAGTGGTGTCCCCTGGAGGAACCTGCAGCCACTGAGGGCGGCAATGCCAGGGCTGGTCTTACCTCTCCTTCGAACCTCAGCCCTGTTTTATGCAAAGCTCCAACTCGGACCAAGTTCCAATCTGAGTGGATCACTAAGGCTCGGTTCCCACTCTGTGAAATGAGGCTACTGAGCATTTACCCTGCAGGAAGAGCGCATGGTCAGCTGGGACCTGGAAAATGTCACATTTCCTGAAGTGGTGTCACTAACATGTGACAGCACTCAAGAGACCGAGCCACGAGGTTTCCTGCAAGTTCATGTCTAGGCTGCACTACACAGTGAGTTTGAGGCCAGCCTGAACTCTATAGCAAGATCTCCCCAACAAACAACCTCCCCTAAAGGGAAAAGAAAAATATCAGATCTCACCATTTTGTAATGACTCTCCCCTCAGTCAGCGAAACCGACTGTGCTGCTGGGCTCCTGTGGCTGTAACCTGGCTCATAGGAAGCAGCATTTCAGAGACTCACAGCACAGAGAGCACTGCAGCAGCAGGGTCAGGACCACTCCTGTGCCCTCTGGGCCACACTAGAAGCGTAATTCACGTTTTTTATTTCTCCTAAGGCAGTCTGGCATGCAAGAGCAGTTTTTGCTAAAGCAAAGCAAAGTGAAACAAAACAAAACAAACCCGGACTTCATACAAATTCCCAATGGGTAAATAACAGTAGAACACATGCTTTGTCTACGTGGAGAAACATATATCTTCTTTCCCAGCAGGTGCCTCACATAAAAGGGGCTTTGGAAGAAGAAAGAGGTTGTCCACCCCGACCCTTCCTCACTACCTTAGCCCCTCATGCTCCCTGCTTGTTCCTGTATCTTCCCTCCCAGTCTCTGTTCCCATGCCCCGTTTCCCTCCATATTTCTTCTACTCATGTGGTCATTTTTCCTCTAAAGTCTGTCTGGCCCTGTCTTCTCAGCCTCTGGCACCACTCAGACTCATTCAGTCTCGGATTCTGCAAAGTCTGTCCTGACAAACTCAGGGGAGAGGACTCCAGCATCCTCCTTATCTCCTCTCTCCGGGCTTTCATTTTCCACTGTACGAGATCAGCCCTAGAGAGAAGGAGGCTGTGCCCTCACCCCAGTAGGAGCGCTGTCCCCATCTGCACAGTGTCCCAGAGGTCTCCCTCCCAAATCCTTCCTGTGCTCCACCTGGGAAAGGTTGCCAGAATCTTATTGTAGATTTTTGCATCTGTGTTCATTAGAGAGATTGGTTTTCTTTCGAGTTGAAGCCCTCTCTGGTTTTTGTATCAGAGTAATATTTTCTCCCAAGAATGAATTTGGGAGATTTTTTTCCCATTGTATTTCATTAATGAGCTTTAGAATTAGTAGCATTAAGCCTTCTATAAGTTTCTTGTAGATTTCAGTGATGAATCTATCAGGGTTTGGGTTTTCTCTGTAAGATTCTATTTACACCTTAAATTTCATTGATTGAAACTGGTTTGTTTAGGATTTTCATATCTTCTTCATTCAGCTTTGGCAGTTCCTATGCATCTAGGAGTCTGTTTGTTTCCTCTGTATTTTACATCTTATTTGAATACAAGTTCTCCAGGTAGGCGTAGATGACTTCCTGAATTTCTGCAGTATCCACGGTCAGTTCATCCTTTGCATTCCTAGTTGGGTAGATTGGAGTATTTTCTTTCCTTTTTCGGGTAAGGTTGGCTAAAGGTTTGTCAGTTTTATTTAATCTTTCAGAGAAGAAACTCTAAAGTTCATTGACTCTTTGGATTGTGTTTTAGTGCCCTCTGTATTACATTTTGCTCTGTTTATGATTTCCTGCCTTGTATGACCTTTAAGCTTAGCTAGGTCTTCTTTTTCTACAAGCTTGATGTTCATTATTAAGTTGTTCATTTTAGGTCACTCTGCTTTCCTGATATGGTATGAATTGCCCTCCAAAGACTGCTTTTACTTGTCATCTACGTTCTGATATGTTCTATTGGTAATTTTGTTTAATTGTAGAAAATGCCTAATTTCTCTTTGATTTCATCTGCTATCCACTGGATATTCAGGAGGTTGTTATTTAATTTCCCTGTGTTTATGAGGTTCAGGTGGCGTCTTTTGCCATTAATTTCCAATTTAACTGGACTATGATCTAATCATATGCATAGGAGACTTTAAATTACTTTGTGTTTACTTAAATATACTTGATGAGCTTGTATGTGATCTATTTTGGAGAACATTCCTGTGCAGCTGAAAAGAATGTCTGATGTTGTGGGGTGGAACACTCTGTAAACCTCTGTAAGTCCATTTGTTGAAGAGTTTAGCTCCGTTCTAATATTTCTTTTTTCATGTATTGTCTAGTTGCCCTCTGTGTTTGTGACAGTGGGCTATTGAGTTCCCCCAATGCAACTGCTTTAGTGCTTATCTGACTGCTCACGTCTGTTGGTATTTTTTCACATAGTTGCATACACTGGTATTTGTTGCATCTGTATTTATGATAGTTATTTGGCTTGGATTGTTTCCTTTACAAGGATTTAGTGACCTTTTTTGTCTCTCCTAATCAACCTTGGCTTGATATTTACTTTTTCTATACAGAGAGTAACTATGCCTGATTTTTTCCTGATGGTTTCTCTCCATCCTTTGACATTTAGTTAGTGAGTTTCTTTTTGAATTAAATGTTTCTTATATGCACCATATTGTTGAATCTTTCTTCTTGGTCCTCATGTGTGGGTATTTCATTGATTGGTGAATGGAGATTGATTAACATGATGGTTATAACTGATATGTATTCAATTATCTATGTATGTTAGTTTCATTTTGTTGGCTCTTACCCTTTCCCCATGTTTCATTCCTTGCCTTAACCAGTGGATTTTTTCTTTATGTGTTCATGGAGTTGTATTCCTTTTAATTTATTTCTACAATGTCCTTCAGAATATTTTGGAGTACTGGTTTGATGGTCATGTATTTCCTTTGGTGTTCTTTGTCGTGGAAGTATCTTATTTCTCCATCAACTTTGAAAGACAGTTTTGCAGGGTACATCAATCTGGGTTGGAGGCTGTTTTCTTTTAAGGCTTCAAATACTTCACTGTATGCTGTCCTCCACTGGCCAGTCTGTGTTGAGAATTCGGCTATGATTCTGATGGTGTTGTCTTTCATGCTGTGATTTATTGTGTTGAATTTCTGGACTCTTGCCTATTATATTCTTTCTTGTAGATTTTTTTTTTTGATCACGGCTATTTGGAGTTGTCTAAGCCTCCCTTGTCTGTTTGTCAATTTCTCTTTTCCTGCCAAGGAAGTTTTCCAGGGTAACATGTGTGAACTACTTTCTTACGTAATTTGTGCTTGCCCATGCTTTTTCATCGATGCCAATACACTTTATGTTATTCTGTTTTGCATTATCTAGCAGCTGCTAGATGGAGTTTTCATGGTCTTTTGCGTCTTTTAAGAAATCTTACTTTTCATGATTGCCAAGCATAAGCTTGTCTTCTCTGTCTGAGATTCTATGCTGACATTGGTATATTCAGATGTGGATACTTTCAGGGGAAATTTTTATCCCCCTATATATTTGTTTGAATCTGTTTTACAGATTCCATTTGTTTCCTGTTAGGCATTCAAGGTTTCCCTCATCTCCTTTGGATCAATTAAAAAAAATCTGTATCTGTTCTAGATCCAGTAAGCATGATTTTCATTGTGGCCATATATCTGTAATTATATAAGAAAGTATTTATAAACTGTTTTGTTTTCGGTAGGATCATTCATTTGCTTTGTTACCAGTTCAGGGAGACCATGTGGGTAATTTTCAAATTGTGCCACATCATTTTTCCCTTGGTTAACCTTGGCTGAAGTGGTTGTGTGGGACTGTATCTTGTGGAATTGTCTTCTCATTTTCCACTTTTCAAAGGTTAGTTCCTGGGTTGATACTTGTGAATTGTCTCTGGTGTATAGCTGTATTGCTAGTGTGTATAAAGCTTAGGAGATGACGTCTTCTCAGAGATGTCTTCTAGGTATAGGTGGCTTTGGGCTTTGAGTCCTTTGCAAGATCCCACCCCTTTGATTTATTGGGCATGAGAAGTTACTGCTTGCTTGGCCCATCCCCTGGTTCTTTGGTAGTGGACCACAGTATTTTCTGATGCTTAAACCATCTCATTCTTGGTACCCCAGCAAGAACAGCTGGTTAGAAAAATTGTGTCACTTTGGCTAAAGTGGTGTGATCAGCTGTAGCAATAGCATCAAGCACAGCCCAGAGCACCACAAACTGTGATAACAATAAATTTGCCACATTTACTCATATGAACTAGTTTTGTTGTTGTTATAACCCTGTTATGGTTGATACACTGTGTCAGCTTGAGAAGTTTAGAAATTTAACTAAGACTCAGCAGGAGCCAGTGTTTTTACTTTGTAATATCCTCAACCTGTGCAAGAAGAGGGCATACAGGTTGTGTGAGTGCTATCCCCGCCTGGGGTGGGGGGCATCCTGCTTATTATATAAGGGAGGAGAAGAGGCTTGGTCTGCTCCTCACCTTGCTCTGGCTGCCTTTGCTGGCTGCTGCCTTGAAGTGTTGACCCTGTGCTATGTCACCATGCTTTGGAACCAGCTGGTTATGGACTGAAACCTCCAAAAACTAAGTTAAATAAGGCTTTCCTTCCTTCATTTGGGGTGCTGGGTATTCTATCCCAGCAATGAGAAAAAATTAACCAAGACAGAGCTTTTTACCAGTGAGTGGCCTCGTTGCTGTGACTGTACCTGACTTTGTGGTTCAAGAGCCTTTGGGAATGGCTTGTGGTAGGAGATTAGAAACATTCAGAGAATTCAGAGACATCACCTGAAAGCATAAAGCTGGAATGATTTAGGTTTTTCTATATGGGAGGTGCTGGTCAGAGCTCAGGAGACTAGAAAATCAGTAACGACCAGGCTCAGGAGATTTCTGATGGGAAGAAGGCCTGCAGTGGTTGTTGGACCACTGTTGGTTGCAGTCTGGGTTATGGCTTGGCAGAAAATTTGTCTGCGTACTACTCTTGTCCAGAGACTACCTGAAACTGAGATTAAGGTTAGTGGACTAATTGATCTGGCAGAAGAAATTCCAAGGAGTTTATTGTTGAGGCAGCAGCATAGATTGTAGCCAGATTTATGTTGTGAATTGAGAACAAAGAGCCCAACAGGATGCTTTGAAACATTGTGAGTTTCACTGGGGAAAACAGCTCCAGTAAAGCCATGGACTGCAATGAGAGAGCCGAGATCTCTATTGTTGAGAGGAAAGAGGATAATGCAAAAGATGGACTTAGGGAATCACAAGCAATAGTGGCTCCCTGAGCTTTACAGCATCAAAACTGCAAAAGTTAAAGACTTTGAGAAGAAAGCTGCAGAGTGCCATGTTCGAGAATGGCAGCAGTGGAAGTCACATAATATTCCAAAATTCTGGCATCCATACTAGGTTCCAGAATAGCAGTGGCATAAAGAGTTTGTTTCTCACAATCAGGTTCAGAGTGTTCAGCAATCCAGGTGCTCAACCCCTAGTAAAGAGAGAGAAAAGCCTGGCAGCAGACCTCGGCATCATGCACATGGTGCTGGTTTTAGGTGCATACAGGATGCAAGAGTTCTGAGGCTGAAAAAGCTTCCACTCCAGTTTCAGGAGGCCTGGGAGGCCAGGCAGTGTGCTCCTGAGGGGTTAGTTCAGGAAAGCTGTGAGTGTGAAGCCAAAAGTGTGAAGCAATTTGTGAAATATGAAGTGTGAAGAAATGGAGAACCCAGAAGTTTGGAAAAGCCAGGAGCATGGATTGTGTAAGGAAACCTGTGAGGGGGAACAAAGCCAACCCAAGAGAAAAGCTGTGGGAGCTACAACCACCAGATGCGCCATGGAAGTGGTATCACTCAAATCTTTTGGAGAACAAAACCAGATTGATTCAGATGCTGAGTGTGGAACTGCAGGATTTAATGTTTTCCCTGCTGGATTTGGGACTTCCTTTGGTTCCATTCCTTTGTATTCCCTTTTCAACCCTTTGAAAGGGTAATGCTTATTTTGTACTATTGACTTTCAGAAGTAATTAACTTTGTTTTCACTGGTACAGGGGGTTACAGCTTTGAGCTTGCCTTGAGGAGATATGGGACTTGAACTTTTCAGCAGTGCTGAAACTGTTAGGACATTGGCAACTCTTGCAGATGCACTAAGTGTCATTTGCATAAAGGATGTGCCTGACTCTTTGGGGGTCCTGGCTGGAAAGTTATGACTTGTGTTTAACTTTCCCCTCAAAGCCTCATGCAATCATGGAGGGGGCTGAATGTAGCATTTAGGTTCATTGTTGGCACTGGGATTGTGCACTCACTCAGGGGTGCGTAGTTGGCACACAGTTTAAGGGAGGGAAGGAAGCACACTTTTCCCTTTTTTGCCTTTTTTGCTCTTGCCTTTTTTGGTATCTGCCACAGCCACCATGTTGCCCCTTAGCCAAGCTGTCCTGCCTTGGAACTAGCTGAGTATGGACTGAAACCTCCAAAAATCTGTAAGTTAAATAAATCTTTCCTTCCCTCATTTTGGGCATCAGGTATTTTGTTCCAGCAATGAGAGAAAAGTAACTGAGATATCAGACTGGAGGACAAAGGAGGATCGTGCAAACTTTGGGAAACACGTACAGAAGACAGGAGCCAAAGAGGGAAGGAAGAAATACAAGGAAGAGTAGAACAGAACCACAACCACAAAAAACTACAAAGCCATATTTGCACTCATGTAAAAACAAAAGTGAAGAATGAAGAAAATATAAACACAGAAACAAATAATACAAAACAGGAACAGAGAAAGAGGAAAAAAATGTACTTTTCAATCTATATTTCTGCTGTCACTGGTAGACAATATGAGGAGACATAGTCCAGACCCATGTGAATTTATCCCACCAAACCAGTAGCAGCTTTACAGTGGGGTAGTGAAGCCTACAACTTTATTTTCCCTAAAGTTCAGGCTATTTGATGGCCATGAGGCTGGAACCAGACCTGTTACTCTGCAGCAGTCATTGTACTGGCTGTGGGCTGCAACTCACCTGGGATCCACTAGATGGAGCCAGCGGTTCTTCTTATTTCTCAGCTCAGTTGACCCCTCTTAATGGCTCTGGTCCAATCACCCTCTCTCAGGGATGGTCCTACCTGCTCCAATCACCACCCAGTGCAGTTCACATCTTCTGCTGCACCTTTGCACTGCTGCATCTCTCTGTGGAGTCCTCTGATATCACCAGCAGTCACCATGTGTCCACTATTTCAGATCAATTCTGCTGTGCAGTGAGTCCTGACTTGGAGAAGGCACTGTTCATTACCTGCTTCTTTTTGTCTGAAGATTCTCTCTGTGGGTTTCAATTCTCACTTCTTTTGTCCAGTTCTTTGTTCTGGACACCAACAGCCTGGAAGGAATTTCTTTGGGACCCAGAAAGCTGATAACAGAACACTGTCAGAAACAGAGACTCATCTGGGCATGGAGGCACACGCCTACCATCTCTTCTGCTTCCAAATGAATTTTAGGATTGTTTTCTCTAATTCTGTGAGATATATCACTGTCATTATGATCAAGATTTCAGCTAATCTGCATAACAGTGGTCCATCCACAGGAAGGGGAGATCAGCTGGGCAACACTTTGGAATTGGGCAGGATGAACCTGAACTCAGAACTGTAGTGGTTTCAGGCTGGCACAGAGCAGATTGGTGAGATTTGCTTGGACTGGGTCCTGCCCCTGTGCAAGATCCAATAGCCAGGGATGAAGTTGCCCCTGAAGCTGTCCCAAACTTGTTCTGTCCACATGGCACACACTAACATGGTGAAGACCCCAATGGTTGACTGGCTCGGAGGGGAGGGTCCAGCCTGCACCACCCCTGCTTGTACCTCAGTGATCAACAGCAAACTGGAGATGGCAGCAATCCCTAGCCAGCATGCGTCAGAGTAATCATAACCAATACAGAAAGGGACTGGAACCTCCACTCTACACTTGTCTGGAAGAAACCAGAAATATGGCAAGAGAAAGAAACAAAAGGAAGTCTTGAGCCTCCAACCCAAACAATATGGGTTCAAGAGTGGTAAACACAGAAGAGATAGAGGGCAGCACACCTGTAGTATCAGAAGCAGAATCAGCTGACATAAAGAAATATCTTTATGACAGTATAAAAGAACTCAAAACAGAAATACTAATATAATAAAGCAAGATATAAGAAGATTAATGAAAGAAATACTAAGCACCTCTCAAGAAGACACAGATATAGGAGCACAGAAAAAGGAGGGAAACCTTTAATGAAGAATATAAAAACTATCTAGAATACATGAACCAGATTAAAATGGATTTTCAGGAAATTAAAAACTCCATTGAAACCTGGCAAAACTGCTTGAAAGAAACTAAAGATAGACTATCAAATCTTGAAGACAGGTTTGCAATATGTGATCACAAAAGCAAAGATCTCTTAAAAATAACAGAACCACGAAGTTACAATACAAAGTCTAGAAGATGACAAGAGGATCTATAACTTAAGAATAAAAAAAAGTGAGTGAAGAAGCAGGGGGTAAACACAAATGAAATACAAAAGCTATTCACAGAAATAATTAAGGAAAACTTCCAAAGTATAGGAAAAGGAGATGATATTCAGACGTATGAGGCATACAGGATTCCAGCCACCTACAACCAAAACAGAGCTATGCTCAGACATATAATAATCAAGATCCCAGAAATTCAACACAAGAACAGAATATTAAAAACTGTAATAGAAAAGAAACAGATCACCTATAAAGAAAACCCATCAAAATTATGACAGACTTCTCAATATAAACCATCAAATCAAGAAGAGCTTGGAGTGAAGTACTCTAAACCCTGAAAGAAAATAACCTCCAACCCAGATTGATGTACCCTGAAAAACTATCTCTCAGAATTAAAGGAGAAACAAGATGCTTCCATGACAAAGAGGAACTGGGGGAGTTTATGACCACCAAACCAACCCTACAAAAAATACTGAAGGACATTCTAGAAAGAGAGAGAAAAAAAGCACCAGGATTTCAGGAACAGCGACAGAGGGGGCTCACTGAAGGGGGCAGACAGTGGAATGAAGGGGAAAAGTAGACAAACAACAGCAGAAAAATAGTATGGCAGAGATGAGGCAGAGAAGGTTGGCTACAATCTCTTAAAATAGATGGCTTTGGTAAACTAACAAAAATAAACATACAGAGTAGATCAGGAGATAGAGTCCATCAAGATGCTCTGTATGGGAAATATAACCAACCTGAAAGAGGGTTTATGGACCGAAAGTCAAAGATGAGAAAATAATGCTCTATGTGACAGGGAACCAGAGAGAAAGAAATAGGGGTGGCCCTTCCAGCAGCTGCAGATAGGTTGGAGAGACACGACACTTGTGCAGTGAAGAACTACTCAGCTATAAGGAAGAAAAACCTTGAGGGTTTTGTAGGTAAAGGAATACAACTTAAGATCAAGCTCAGGGGTAAAAAGGTTCAGAACCACTTAGATAAATAGCTGGTTGCCTTTCTGATCTAAAAACTAAAGGAATTAGTGGGATACTGTGGGAAGCCCTGTAACTGGATGCCACCTTATATCTGCAGGCTGCACCACCTTAACTCCCCCTAGGAATTAAGTTTGGTAGTTAAGCAACACCTTGCCTAGCTTGTTTGGCCTATTCAGGAATTATGCTTATGAGCCCACGTGTGGGAAATTTGAAAATTTGAATTAACCTATAACCCTCAGTGTTGCCACTGTTGCTAAGTTACCTGCTGAAGTCCCAGAACCCAATTCCCTCCTCCCCAAAACCCCATATATTTGTTACTCTTTCCTTGAATAAACGAGACTTGATTGGACTTCTGTCTTGTCTCCATTCTTTGTGTATCTTGTCCCCTTTCACCCCCACTCCCCCTCTAGGGTCTCTGTGGCCTTACCCGCAGGCCAGGACAGGCCAGGACAGGATACAAAATGCACAGTGCTCCCAGTGAAAGTGAAAGGGGAAGAATTGTCTAAAAAGGGAAGACAGAGGATATTGTTAATCTTGTATCACGATTTAAAATTCACATTGTTCTCGTTGCTCTGTTTAGTTTGATTATATTCTGTTCTAGTCTGCCTACTTGTACTAGATTTGAGGGCACAAACAGCCATTCCAAAAATAGCAGGATATATTATGGTAACCATCTTTAATTTCCTATTAACTTAATCTGAAGCCCTGTATTACTTACACTGTCTTATTATGACTGATCTTATTTGAATCTGGCTTGTTAGATCGATGTTTTGTCTTGACTGATTTTATTCGAATCTGTTATGTTTGATAGTATCAAGTCTGAGAATAGAGGCAACTAATCTGAAGATGATAAGATTGACTGGGATACCCATTCTGGTTTGACTATTACCTGCTTTTGAAGTGCTATGATGTCTCCAATGCTTTTTTTTTTATTGATATTGTTCTATACTGCTATGTTCAATTTTACTATGCCTGATGATCTAGACAATTCTATTGACGATAACAAGAGACATCATAGTAACCATTGTAGATCACCTTGTATTGTGGTTTTAATCATGTACTATGTCCATCCTTTTTTTTTTTTTTGAATGACCCTATTTTGTTTTCTTTCTGAATTGGTTTTATTCTTTTCAAAAGAAAAAGAAAACACAAACAACAGAAGAAAGAGAAAAACCCCAGGAAAATAAGAAATAATATGTCCACATGAGGTGAGTCTCTGCTGTCACTGGTGCACAAATTGGGCAGACAAAGTTCAGATCCGCGTAGATTAATTCCAACAAGCCAGCAGTAGCTTCACTCAGCTCCCTGTTGGCTTTGACTTGGCTCCATAACATCCTGCCACCTTGAACTCAGCAGCCAAGTGTTCTGACACTTGGAGTAGCTAGGTAGAGCCAGCCTGCAGCTGTTCTGAGCTCTGTGCTCAGCTGGCTTCTCAGTGATGGCTATGGACCAGTCACCCTCTCCTGGGAGACATCAGATTGGGACTAACTCACCAGCCACTGCATCCACTCTTGCATTTTTCCCTGGAGGACTCTGGGACCCAATGTCACAGCGCATGTGCAGGTTTGAGCTGCTCCCCCCACGCAGTGAGTCAGGGCCAAACACCACCTACCACCTCCTTCTTGTTTGTTGAGTTTTCTCTCTTTGTGCACCCTGTCGGCTTTAATTCTCCTGTTAGATATTTCCTGGGTCCTGGGGTTCCACTTCCTCATGTTGCTGTATTCCAGTGTCTGCACCCTCAATCTTGGAGGTGATCTTTCCCTGCTATTCACTCCACTGCCTCCCCAGAAGTCTCCTGTTCAGGATTTGAGGCGTGTGCCTATTTTGCTCTAGTAATTCTCCATTTAGGAATATGTCTTATAAACAGTCACACCTGTGGGGGAACAGTGCAGGTTAGAAGCATGTCGGTAGGGCGTGAGGGTTGGTTAATGCCTAGGAATCCCAAGCACCCTCATGGGCAATTCCAGTGTTTCCGGCTGGAGTTCCAGGTACAGGTGCAAGGCTGTACAGGTACAAGTGACCTTGAGGAGTCTGGGGTGCCTACGGTGGCTGGCACCTGTGTCTTTGGAAGATGTGAGCAGTTACTGATGTTTATGGTCTCCAGTGAGTGAAACCAGGGAGGCAAAGACTTCTTTTCTGTTGCTTTATTTTGAACAATTTGCTTTTCCCCCAGGTGCAGCTCTTCCCTGCTAGCAGCTCTCAAAGCGCAGTCTGAGGACCCTCCGGGACCGCCTGCCATCTTTGTGTCTACGTGAGTTTGTGCTTCCCTCGTGGACTTCAACCAGAGTGGCTGCGGGAGCAGCTATGAGAACCCACTCGATTTTAAGAAGCCAGGCATTCTGGACATTTGCAGAATCGGAAGACTGTGCCTCTCGTTTTGCCAAGTGGGCTCTGCTTTGGAAACTGTAGCTGTTGTGAAAGTTTCACAAATTATTCAACCGAGTCCTCAGTTTTACTTTCTACTGCAGTAAATATTAGTAACCCATGTAAGCAACACTCTTTACTGCCTGGAGAGAAATTTCCTGCTCCTGAAAGTCTTGGGAAGCAGCAGTGGAGGGCAGATAACATAGTTATTTCACACTGCTGGCTCCCCACCCTTTAGAAGCAAATGAACCCGGGTAAATTATTTATTTGCTGTCCTCCATTTTTCTTTTCTGTGGGGTAAATAAAATAACGCACACAACCCATTTAGCACACAGTGCAGTCCCAGTAAATATGGGTGTTATCTGAATCCCACAGAGACTCAGGTAACACTCACCACCCTGCCACTTTTGATGATGTGGAATTGCCAGCCTGAACTTTGCATCAGGGTGAGGATTTACCCCAAGGAAATTGGCAAAACTCAGCATCCATTGGTCTCTGTATTGATGTTACCTTCCAGAGGGTCAGTTAATGACCAGCACCCTGACATAGAACACTCACAGGCAGTGAAAATTCCAAGAAAATGTTCACATCTCTTCAGACAGAGACCTTCTGGGTGTTATAACCTGCTTTAAGCATTGCTATCCTGTTCTGTAAGCATTGTTACTCTGACCTGTGTTTCAGCTCTAGTTTCTTGTGAATTATCCCCTTCCAGAACAGCAATTTGGTCCTTGAACCAACTGGCCCTTGGCTGTAAAACATTTGCTGGCCACTGATTGTAAAATATTCTGTCCCAGGACCAACTGGCCCTGGTTGTAAAACATTTTTGCAGAGATTAACTCCCTTTTTGTATAAGCTCCTTCCCCTTTTCCTCTGCTTTACTGTCTTTACCTTTAAAAAACGCCCTGTAACCTAACCTGGTTACACAGTTCTGTAGATTCCAATGCAGGCTGTGTCACTGGTACCAGCTAAAATAAAGCGCTTCCTTTTAAAGATGTCTTGCCCTGCTTTTTGAACATCTTGGAGCCTCGTTTTTGGGGTACAGCACTGGGCAGGGGGTGTGAGGCGAGGAGTTTTTCATTGGATTTATACACATTTTGCTTTGGGAAGAAACTGGTTTGTGCTTGGTTTTCTGCCATTACCGAGTCTCTGGGGAGGGGGGCACCCCTCACTTTGGGTGAGCCACTGGCCTAGCCCTCCACCTCCTGCCTGGTGCTGGTTCCAGACGCACCAAGACCTTCCAGCTACACACTTGCATCTTGAGCTGGGGCATCCTCTTCCCACATCCCATTCCCCTCTTCTGCAGATGAGTCTTGGGCTATCTTCCTTTTCCCTCTGTGGCTTTTTTTGGTGGGGGGCACTGTTCTGTTTTCTGGTCTTCATTTGTTAGGCCAGCTCTTATCTCAGAGCAACTAGTAGGCCCCCTGTTGCTGGACTTCACTGAGATCTCCCAGCTCATAGCCTTGGTTCAAAGTCTCTCACCAGCCAGCCCTGCCCAAAGCCATGGGAGATACAGAAGGGCTGTGTCTCCCTAGTCCCTGAGCCTCCTCTGTCCTGTGCTCTTTCCATGGGCCCAACATCTTTCTCCTGTCTCTCTCGTCCTCTCTTTTTGTTTGCTTGGTTTTTTTGAGACAAGGACTGTTTAGCCCAGGTTGCTTTGAACTCACTATGGAACCTAGACTGGCTCTGTAATTGAGGTGACCCTCCCGTGTCAGTGTCCTGAGTGCTGTGATCACAGGGTGAACACCACACCCAGCTCTTTCTCCCACGGTGAGCATCCTTCCCTCTTCCCTGCTCTGGCTGCTCCTGTTCTGTGAGGTCTGGGAGGGGAGCTGTGGGACTTCCTTGCCCTAGGCCTTCCCCCTCCTGTGCCCTTATCAGACAGAGCACAGGAGAAGGGATGGAATGTCAGGGTTGGTTGGCCCACTGGGTCTCTGAGCAGCAAAAGGTCAATTGTGGTGGGAGAGAGTGGTGTCCGCCCTCCATGTATGCAGCTACTCTGGCAGAGTAGAGGAGCACATGATTAGATGACAGTCACCATCAGCCTCCTCATGACCCAGTTCCCTTGGGGTTGTGTCCTCCTTGGGGGTGGCTTCTACCACAGAGCCCCAATTTAATAGTGCTAGAGGCCAGGGAGGACCCCAAGATGGCTTGTTGAGCCTCCTCAGACATTGAGGCATCAATGTTTTGGAGTGGTAAAAAGGAACACTGAAATGATACCCAGAATTTGGAGGCAGATTTAATTACATTGATCATTCTCAGAATATCAGGTCCTGATCTCCAGTGGTCTAGGGCTTACATGGGATAAGTAAGCAGGAAGTACAGGGGCAGAATGATTTGACAACTGGGGTTTGGCTTATACAATGTACATCGTAGTGACCAGCTATGCATCACAGTGACCAGTTGTTTCTAAGAGACAGGAGCAGCTGGAACTGGAACAGGAACTGTTACCTGGGCAACTAAGAAACTGACATGTACCAGCTGGAAGGTTGCATTTTCCACTATATTTCTCCACCTTTTAGTTCCCTCAGCAAATCTTTGCTGGGTGTCTTACATGTGATCTTTTGAGACAAGGCCCAACTAGAAGCAATAATGTTAGGGTTGTCAGTGATCTTAGCCAAGGTCCTCCAATATTGCCTTATTACAGAGTTTTTCCCTAACTTGTTTTTAGGAAGAAACATAATTTAGGCCTGTCTGTTCTGTAATGTTACTCTGGAAAGGGAGTTGATCTGATCTAGGAGTGTGTTCAGTGTGTGTGGGGTGCTCATCAAATCCTGGTCAAGTGTTTTTGACTGATAGTTCTGGTCTCTTGGGGCAACCATCCACAGAGTTCAAGGCAAAAAAAAAAAAAATACAACTAGCAGGGGTGATAAAGCAGTCCAGGACTCTGGGGGTAAGCAGAGTCCAGGTCAGTTAAGATGAACCACAGCTAGCAAAGGGGCAGGGAAGCAAGGACTGGGGTCAGCAGCCTGACAAGACCCAAAATTCAAGGGGAACGGGTGTGGAGCAACCCTGTGCACTGTGTCCTTAGGCTTTGACCATGTGCGGACTGATCAGCGTGTACTGTACCTTCTGAGTGAGGCTCAGAGACGCTGTCCAGGTAAACTGTCCAGTGCATCTAAGGCTGGGTTTCTGAAACTTGCAGAGATAGTTAAGATGGACCTGTGTTATATGTGTGTGCAGAAATGTTTATTGATACAGCTAGTCTTGTAACTGGTTACAAGCTGCATTTTTAACTTTCATAGAGCTTTGTGTTCCTAATGCTGTATGGCATTTTTATTTCATCTAGTTTTTCAGTTACCTTTACTACAAATGTTAGGCCCATGTGGCTGCCGGTGATGAAGGGTAGACTATATTATGGATGATTGTTTTACAACAAGACTTTACAAACTTTTTTGTCTTCTCAGTACGGGAAGGGAATGGGAGATCGGGGCCAGTGACAAAGATACTGAAGCCTGAGCTGGCTGCAGGGGTACAGGTGCCATCATGGGAACTTGATCTTCTACAACATATGGTAGAGGAAGATCTGGTGACCAGATTTGATTTCAGTCAATTGGATCCCCTAGGGGCTCAGGGCTCTAAGTAGGATTATTTTGCATCGTTGCATAAGTTTCCAAGCAGCAGTTTGCTGTGCCGACCATCCCTGCAGGAGAGTTTTAGTCAAAATAGTTTTATCCAATGTGACCACAGCATATCTAGTCTATTGGACTTCATTCCTAACAGAGCTGCTGCCATCTGTACATAGCGGGTACTCAGCACCTGCCAGGAGTCTAATTTTTAGAACAGTTCATGTCAGTACAGCATGGGACACCTGGACATTTGGGTCTCAGAATAAGGTGAGTTTGTCAGCTTTCTTGGTCAAGAAGGACAGTGGCTGTTAGGGTGTGAAGCAACCCTAGGGGGTATTGGATGCTCAGTCTAAGTAAGCATATAGAAACCAGCAGCTCCAAGAAATCTGCGCAGTTCCTTGTAACCAGTTTCTTCCAGATATTACAGCATAGCTTCTGTGTCTTTTCAGCAGGAAGCTTGAATGCCATTAATCAAAAGTGCTTTTTCGAAGAGGAAACAAATGGTTGAACCTCTGGGAGGTTGAGTAGAGGTCAGCTGTCTTTTGAGTCCAGAAATGAGGTCTTTCCATTTAATTGTAAAGAGGGGCTGGCTGATAGGAGCCAATCAAAGGCAAAAGAAGGCATTTGTTTTGTCCAGGCAGGTTTACCAGCAGCTGTGAGTATCAGAAGACAGAGGCAGCTCAGGTGGCACTGGAAGCTTGGAGACCTTGCATTGACTTTATAGGCAGGGGGGGTACTGTTTGATGCAGTCAGGGGCTGTCTTGGGATAGAACTCAATCATGAAAGGTCATGATTGATAGCCATGGAGATGGGTCATTTGTCCACACTTCTGAAAACAAGTCTCTCAAAATTTCAAGGTTATGATTGTGAGGCATTTCATGCTGATGTAGGTGCTAATTCTTCCTCCTCGGGTACAGACAAAGTCAATATTAAGTCCAGGAGTGTGGACCTGAGTGTGAGGGAGGCTGGTCAACTCGCAGGAGAGGTACAGGGATGCAAGCTTGCACAGGGATTCATGTTTGATAAAGTGTCCCTCACTCTCAAAGGATCTGCTCTGCCAGACTTTCTTTTCAGTTGGGCCCCAGTGGGCAACTTAAGTAACTTAAGCCATGTTTATTGGCTTCTTACCTCCCTCCTCATGGTCTGCCATGAAAGCAGCATGGTACTGATCTAAGGCTTCATGGCCTTCTGCTGCATTATAGCCCTAGTTCGAATGTGCTCTGAGGAGGATTGCATTCCCCAAGTGCCTGAATCAATCACAGTGGCAGGGACTGTTGGCCTTCACCAGGCTCGGGCCCCTGTAAAGTATGACAGCATTCTTCTGTATTAGAAAGGGTCAAAGGGGTTGTGGGCAGTGCACGAGACACAGCTGGTGATGATAGCTTCACGGTTGGCTCAGCAACTTGGGGCTGATGAATGTAAGGAAGAGGCAGCTCAGACTCAGGATCTTCATACAGAATGGGGTGATACTTTTCTGCTGTGGGCTGAATGTGAGAGCATTTCAGTTGGCCTAGTGAGTGTATTTGGAGCATGGCTTTCTTGGCTTGCAGGATCCAGGTGCAGTGCCTGGGTGGGAAAGATTTGAGCCCTTTATTTCAATTAATTACAATTAATTACAATTAATTGAGCCCTTTATTTTCAATTAATTCAATTAACAGTCTTGAAAAGCATATGCTTCAGGAAACACAGAGTACAAGCTGATGGCTACAGTTTTGATGGACAGAGATCTTTCCCACAGTGATAGTCTATCAGATTGATGTGAGGCTGGATGCCTGCTTGTGCTTTCCATGACATGTGACAGCAATGGTTGACGGCCAACCCTGAAGGTGGGTCGTTAGGTCATACCTCTGGAAGGAGTGTTTTTAGAACTTTAGAACTGCAGTTATGTCTCTCAGACTGATGCAGGCATCATCTTTTTCTCAGGGAACAGTCAAAGGGGGAAGTGCGGGGTTAAACAGCAGGGAGGTTGACTGGCTTGGTGCAAAGGAGATGTCCTCTCAGGTTGCAAATTTGGGCCCAGCAGAAGGGGTGAAAGGCAAGAGTCCCAGTTTCCCTGGTGATGGTAACTTTTTGACAGAGGAAACTTTTGAAGACAGAGAATTCTGCTCCATTATCTACCAGGAAAGTCACAGGTTTGCCCCCAGACTTTTGCAATGACCACAGGCTCTCAGAAGACCAATTTGATGGTGTTCAGTCTATCCTATTTATTCAGGCCCAACAGGAACAACTCCTTTGTGAGTGCTGACAGCCTAATTTTTCCTCAGTCAAAATGTGGAACTCAGAAGGAACTGTTGACAGTCATCTCGGTGGGGGTGTTAGATGATGCCATCTGACTAAGACAGGTTTGTCCCTGGTTGGGGGGCACATGTAGCCAAATGCAGGCCCTGGCTCACTGTAACCAGTTCAATTAGTTGAAAGTAGATGAGTTGAGAGTGGGGAGGTGAAGCTATAGGTATTGGACAGCAATTGTGGTGCCCCAATTGTGGTGGCCAAAGCAGATTTCTCTGGAAGGATGGACCTTTTTTCTTTGAGATACAGGAGGAAGTTTAGTTACATTTTTAACTTTAAAAAAGCTCTTTTTCCTGCATTATAAACTTTGAGTTTTAAATAATTAGGTCCCATTCTTTATATATATGGTGTATGTTATGTACCCTCACATGATGGTATACAGACAAAAAGTGAGTACCCCTGAGAGACATACCATTCAGATGCCCCGCTGACCACACCCCTGTGGGGTTGTGGTATGATTTACCTAAGAAGGGCGGGAGGCCTCTGATATGCCATATGTGACTCATCGGGGAACTACAAGTGAGGGCCAAGTCAGTCACCCTGACAAGTGCTTCCCTGGCTTGGTGCACAGTCAGAGCAGCCTATCTCCTATGCTGTTCATTTCACTCATTGATGCATTCATTCAGCAGTTACTCAGAGGTTAAACATTCCAACCTCCCTTTCCTCGAGGGTAGCCTTAACTAACAAGGGTTGATCAAGGTCTTCTACTCAAACTGAAAAAGACTGAAGACTCAGTGGGGTGCTCAGGGTTCTTATCAGAATCAGGCATGCAGGCAGGTAAACAGACAGAAAGACTATGTGCTCCTCCTTTTGGAGTCCAATGTGAGTTGCTAGAAGAGGGAGCCAGGAATCACTCTCCAGAACTCTGAAGGGACTTGAGAAATATCAAGGCTACACTTTTTCTTCTGGACCTGGAGAGGTCCAGGCTGTCTCTTCAAGGGTCATGACTGGTGACCAAAGAAGTCAGCAAATCAGGCCAATGCAACATCTTACAACAGCAAGCAGAAACACCGAAATGACACTCAGGATTTGCAGGCAGATTTATTTACATCAGTGATTGGGACCATTCCCAGACTATCAGGTCCTGATCTCTGGTGGTCTAGGGCTTATATGAGATAAGCAAGCAGGAAGTACAGAGGCAGAATGGGTTGTAAGTTGGGGACTGGTTTATACAATGTGCATCGTAGTGACCAGCCTTTTCTATGAGACAGAAACAACCAGAAGTGGAACAGGAACTGTTACCCAGGCTACTGATAAACTGAAGTATACTGGCTGATGGGTGACATTTTCTGCTACAGTCTGAATTCTTACTTCAGAACAGAGAGACAGAAGAGGCAGGACTGTGGGCCATGCGACCTAAGGCCACAGCCTGGCAGCAGTCCTAGCTGTAAGCAGGGCATTAGATGTGGCCCCCACAGAGTAGCCTGCAGGCAAGGGGCCAGGTGATGTGAAGACAAAGCTGGGGCACAGGCTGTCATGCCCCATGTTTTAAGTCAGGGCTTCCAGACAGCTTGGATGTCACCTCTCCTCTCAGATTCACCCTCTTGCAGTTGCCCCCAAAATGAATTCGCAGCAGTGGACTTCCCTAGAAGTGGGTTTCTGGGTGGCACAAGGCACCAGAGAAAATACTCCACAGGCCATGTTCCTTGGGTCCTGCCCCAGAGATCTGGTGTCCCTGGGCCTGGGTCTAAAATCTGACCTCATGGACCAGGCCCCTGAGACCCCTGACTTGTGGAATGACCTGGCCATGGCGCATTGTCACCACAGGCAACCAGTTCAGCCTGCATCACTGCTCCATTGGGTGCCAACTGTATGACTTGGGGTGATTTTATCTCTTGTAAGAGCCTCAGTGTCCTCACCTGTAAAATAGGCATCTTCAGGTCCTCTTTGCCTGGGACTAGGGCTGAGGTCTAAACTGCGTGCACAGGGAACAGGGCTGGGAATTCTCTGTGCTTCCCAGTACATCCTGCCAGGATAAAGTGGGAGGGACACAGTAGGAGCAGCCACACCACTAAGGCTGGGGCTGGGGCCCAGGAACCAGCATCCCAGGAGAAGAGGAGAGGGAGTGAGGGGAAGCAGGGTGTCCAGGCTGAGTGGAGAAGGCACTGGCAGGAGAATGGCAGGTGGCTGTCAGATAAAGCTGGAAAAAGACTGCCCGCTGTTTGGCTTTGTTGCGTGGAGTCCTCAGAGCCCCGCAGGAGGTGGGTGCTAATCTGCTCATCCGCTGCTCACAGAAGAGGATCCAGAAGGACCGGGGGTCATCCATTCAAGTGGCATCCACATACCCCTGGCTATGCATCAAACATGGCAGCAGCCACACCGAGAACCATGAAGTGTGACTCTGTGTGTGTGTGTGTGTGTGTGTGTGTGTGTGTCTGTGTGTGTGTCTGTGTGTGCACTTAGAAAACACTCCTGCAAGGAAATGTGTCACAACACTCCCACACTTACGCTACATTTGTGTGCTAGGATTTCTCAGGCCACAATGTTCTTCTTGGTGATTTTGATTGACTTAACGTTTCTATATTGGACACAAATTGCCTTTGTAATAACAGGGAAAATAAAGACTAATTAAGCAGGAAATTGAGGCATAGCGTGAAGCGTCCCTCCAATGAAATCATTATGGACCAGATATCATTTGTTGATGTGATTTTCTCGAAGTGGTAGACCAGCTCCACCTCCTTCCACTCTGCAGAGAGGGCTGGTGTGGTCACGGTGGTGAGCTGGCACCCACGACTCAGCACTGTCCTTTCTCTTTTTCCCTTGTGGAGACAGAAGTCTCAGATGGTGCGACCTCCTCCCTGGCCCATGACACCAGCTTATTTGCCCGAGGATGATGGGTGGACACAGTCAGTCCTACCCAAGGGACAGCGTGCAGCTCCAGTGTGCAAGGACAGCAGCCGCCTGTGTGTCCTTGTGTCACAAGGTGAGGCTCCTATTGGTGAGCAGCTGTCCTGGGACCACCCCTCTGGCCACACTGTTGGATCCCTGTATGAGTCCACACACAGAGCTGGGGACTGTCCTCCCCGGCACCAGTGTCCCCAGGGCTCTAAGAGCTCACTGTGCATGGAGAAGCCCACCTCTGTGGAAATTTGTGGAAAACTTGATTCTAGGATGGGGATCAACTTTCCAGCAGTAATGGGGTTCCAGGGAGAGTAGATTAGGGAGCAGCTCCACCACAGAGCTCAGCACGCACCTGAACCAAAGCCAGTGATTTTGAAATGATTTATTCACTGGGAAAGCGAAGGCAACATCCTGCTCTTAAACACAGCAGCAGAGCCATGAGCAGCACCAAGGGCCGCTGGGTTCCAGTCCCATCAGAAGGAACAATGGAATGAAAACATGTCCAAATACACAGTGGGTGTTGGGGGTGAGACTTTGATGGCTTCAGTGCTTGTTTCTTTCTTCACGGCCACCTCCTGGCATGGAGTTGAGTCCACATAGTTGTATTCGGTGGTCAGGCTGTAGTCCTCTGTGGTGGTGAAGCTCTCCATCCCAGCCTGTCCTGTGGTCTAGCACCATGGTTTCTGTTACTTACTTTTCAAAGGCTCTGGGCAGGGCAGCCACAGCCATGGTTATGTTTCTTCCATTTTCTACTGGACCCTCGGGACAAAGTGATGAGTGAGGAGGGAGCCCCAGATCCTCTCTGCCCTGTGGACCCTCCAGTCCAGCAGCAAGGGCAGCATTTCTGGAGAAATGTGACAAGTAATTCATGTTAAGTAATTTTGCATGAAAATCATCTCCTGTGCCTTCAGAGTGACTGGCTTTATTAATCAGTCTCCAACAATAAATCATGTAAGAAAGTTTCCTTTTAGCAGGGCTTGGTGGCACACACCTGCACTCTGGGAAGCTGAGGCAGGAGGATCATGAGCTTGATCCTACCCTAAGTGAGTAATGCAGCAAAACCCAGCCTCAAACAAATAAATACTGGGGATGTGGCTCAGTGAGAAACCCTGGGTTCAGTCTCCAGTACCTGCATACCCTACCATGTACTCTGCACCTGAACACAAGTCTTATAATTTCATCTGGTACTCCCAGGACACTGCACTGCTCAAGGCCTGGCAGCTATGCCTCAGTACCATCTGGTCTACTTTGCCTGGTTCTAATTTTTTACAGATGTACCCATGGGCTAACCAGACAGCAGCCTGGTCCCTGGAGCATTCCTTACCTCTGAGGAGCCCTGAGCAGTACACATCTTAAATAGGATCACTCTTAACATTAGGCAACAGCATAGAAAGACCAAGAACCACTTACCCTGGCTCCAAAGAGTTTGCCTTTTAGTGTCTCTAGCACTGAGGTTTGAGGCTTCGGTGGAGTAGAAAGTGCTGAAGTTCCTGTAAGGTGATAGAGACAGGGGTCTGGGGTGTCCTGTGTCAGAATGACAAGAACCTGCTGGACTGATAACCTGGGAAGATGGCGGAACAGTAAGCAGCAAACTAAAAAGCCTCTCTGAGAGAAAGAGCCCAAATGCTGGAATATAGCATTCTGGAGAAGGAAAAGCAGGAAAGACGTAGGTCCCCTCGACCCAAGAAGAAACTAAAGTGAGAACTGAAACCCACAGAAAGAATTTTAAAAAATAAAAACTTGCACAGAAGAAGGCGGTAGCTGGCGGCGCTCTCACCAGAGCCAGTCCCACTGTGCCAGAAGCACTGTTGGAACCTGGAGATGCACGGGCACAGTGAAGCTGGTGACTGGCAAGCCTGGAGGCCTTGGTGAGGAGATGTAAGGGCAGAAGGGAGCAGTGAACCAGAGAACTGCACTGGCTGGAGTGTCCGACTTGTGTGGCTGCGACTCAGCAAACTGTCCAGGTTCCTGCTGCTTCGACTTGCCATGGTTGTGCTGGGGTGCAGGTGCACTGAGGTCAGGGATCAGTGAGACCAATGGAGAGTGGAGTCAGTAGGGGACCTGCATTGACCTGTGGTGAGTGTAGGGAATAAAACCTTTCCACAGGAAAGGGAATGACATCTTGGAACCGGGCAGGACTGGCGGAAACAAAGTACCACAGAGACTTCAGTCAGTTGTTCCCTTCCCAAATGGGATTGGTCAGATGTGCTTGGCCTGGGTCAGGCCCCTGGCTGGGAACCAGTAGGGTATCCCAGACCAATTCCCTACGTGCTGTGCACACTAAGGTGGTGAAGCCCTCAGTGGGCTGGCTGACCCAGAGGGGAGGGGCCAACATATGCCATCCCTATTTGCACTTCAATAGCACACTGGAGTAGGCAGAGTCACCTAGCCAGCAAGCTTCAGAAGAACCATTAAAATAAAAAAAAAAAAGGATTGGGGCCTTCTTTATATGCCTGTATGGAAGAAACAAAAAATATGAGAAGAGGAAACAATAAGAAAAAGCCCCCAGTCCCTAACCCTGAGAACATTGATCCAAGAAAGGTAAATACAAAAGAAGTTGAGAACAGCAAACATGCAATATCAGACACGGCATCAGTGGACATAAAGAAATATATTCGGGACCTCATAGATGAGTTCAAAAGTGAAACATTTAACCAAGTAAAGCAAGATATAAATAGATTAATAAAAGAAATGCTAAGCACCTCTCAAGAGACACAAATGGAAGAATGGAGGAATATAAACAAAGGAGAGAACCATTTGATGAAGAATATAAAGAAAATATAGAATACATGAAGCCGATTCAAAGAGATTACCAGAAAATTAAAAACTCCATTGAAAGCTGACAAAACTGCTTGAAAGAAACTATGGATAGATTATCCAAACTGGAGGACAGGTTTGCAATGTGGGATTATGAAAGGAAAACTTTTTAAAAATAACAAGGAAATAAGATGTAACAATACAAAGGCTAGAAGACAACAAGAGGATCTATAACTTGAGAATAAAGAATGTGAAAGGAACTACAAAGGCTATTCACAGAAATAAATAAGGAAAACTTCCCAAACATAGAAAAAGGAAATGATATTAAGATATATGAGGCATACAGAACTCCATCCACCTACAACCCAAACAGAGACACTCAGGCATATAATCATCAAGATCCCAGAAATTCAATGTAAGAACAGAATATTAAAAACTGTTAGAGATAAGAAACAGATCATATAAAGAAAGACCCATCAGAATTATGGCAGACTTCTAGACATAAACCATCAAGTCAAGAAGAACTTGAAGCAAAATATTCCAAGCCCTGAAAGAAAATAACCTCCAGCCCAGATTGATATACCCTGAAAAACTGTTGCTAGAAATTAATGGAGAAACAAGATCCTTCCAAGACAAAGAGGAACTGGGGAAATTCACGACCACCAATTCAACTCTACAGAGAATACTGCGGGGCATTCTAGAGGGACAGAAAAGTACCAGGATTCCAGGAACAGTGGAAGAGAGGCCTCAATGAATGGAGCAGAAATTAGAATGAAGAAGACAAGCAGACAACTATTGGCAAACAAATAGCATAACAGAAGTGAGGCAGAGAAGGTTGGTTATAAACTCTAACATAGAAGGCCTTGATATACTAAATTAAAAAAAAGACAGAATCACAGGTAGAGTAGATCAGGAGGTAGGGTCCACTGAGATGCTCTTCATAGGAAATATAATTAACCTGAAAAAGGGTACATGGACTGAAAATCAAATATGGGACAGGGAGTCAGTGAGTAGTCAGGGCAACTCGACAAGTATTTGTGGATAGGTTGGAAAGACAGGCTTTAATAGGTAAAGGAATACAATTAGAGATCAAGTCCAGAAGGGAGAAGGTTTGGAATCACTTAGGTAAATAGCAGGTTGCTGCCCACCCCCACACCTAATTTAAAACTGAGGGTCTAGGTGAGACCCAAAAATACACAGTGCACCCTGAGGAAGTGAAAGGGGAGGACTGGTCTTTAAAAAGATGGCAGAAGATACTGTTAATAGTGTATCAAGAATTAAAACTCATATTACTCGCACCACTCTGCTTAGATAGATTTTATTCTGTCCTAGTTTGTCTACTTGCATTAGATTTGAGGGCACAGACAGCTATCCCCAAAACACCAGGATATAGCACAGTAGTCATCTTTAATTTCCTATTAACTTAATTTGGAGCCCTATATGACTTTATACTGGTTTATCATAACTGATCTTAGTTAAATCTGGTTTGTTTGATTGTTGTTTGGTATTGATAGATTTTATTCAAAACTTATATGATTGATAATATCAAGTCTGAGAGTTTAGACAATTACACTGAAGATTACAAGACTCACTATGATACCCATTCTGGCTTGATTACTACCTGTTTTTGAAGTTTTAAATTACATACAAAATTGTGTTTTTATTAATAGTGTTATGTACTGATATATTCAATTATACTATGTCTGATGATATAGCCAATTCTATTGAAGATAACAAGAGACAACACAGTAGCCATGGTAGAACCCCTTGTACAGTGGTCTTGTATGTCTTTTTCATTTCATGTATTTATAGGAATATGTTTTGTTTTGTCTTGCCTTGTTTTGTTCCTCCCTCTAATATAGAAAGGATAGAAATACATGTTAAGACTCATGCATGCATAGAACCAATAAACAGTTTATGAGAACTGATCTTATGACACATGATGAACTGAACAAATACTTTGAAGGAAAAGAGACACTACAGTACCCAGTGCTGATCCAGGAATATCATAATGTGAAACCCAGAAACAGTGTTATTCTTTGTTCAGAGTGATTTTTTGTGGAACAGAACTGGTTGCCAAATTCCACTTTATATGCTCCATTTTTGTATCTTGAATAACTATTTGTAAGAGGACAATATGTAAATATCAACTAGTGATTTATTACTGTTTATTCTTTCTTTGAAAGTATGTATTATTTCTACCCATTTTTGTTTTGTTTAGTCTTTCTTTAAATAAAAATTTTTAAGCAAAGGGAGGGAAAGGTGGAAACTACTGTCCATTTCTTATTATCTTATCTTGAACTCTTGCATTGTTTATACAATTTTATTAGGTTTGGCTTTGTTCTGTCTTTTGTTAGATTTTATGCTTCAGATGGTAAGGGCTGCTAGTTTGAATATAATGGGAAATATGGCCATCATGGTTTACTATTATATTGTTTTGAAGCCTTATAATGCTTTCATTCATTGGTCTAATTTTATTTTGTTTTGTTTGATTTTATTATGTGAGATGGTATTTTGAAGAAAACAAGATATTCTGGTAGCTATTGCTGATTTACTATCATCTTGCTTTGAAGTCCTACCATGCTTTTGTTTTTGTTTTGATTGGTTCTATCCTGTTGTGTTTTATTTGATTTTATTATGTTTTGATTTTGTAGACAAATTTTTTTAGGAAAATGAGGTATTATAGCAACCATTGTCCATTTCCTGTTATTTGGTTTTGAAATCCTGTAATGCTTTCATTCTTTTGAAATTTTTTTTTACTATATTGTTGTTTGATAATGTGTGTGAAGGTATGTTCAACTATTTTAAAGAAAAAAGACATTATGTTAGCTACTGTTGATGTCCAGTTGTTTTGCTGTGAAGTGCTGTGTTGCTTGCATTTTATTGTTCTAATTTGCTTAGTTTCATTCTGTTTTCTTTTGTTCTCTTTAAAATTAAAAAAAATCTAAAAAAAAAAAAAAGAAGCTGCTGGACTTCTGCTATGCCTACTTGCTTCTGCTGGCCACACCACCTGTTTTGGGGCTGGGTTCACAGCAGGGACTTTCTTTGCTTGGTGTCTGTGGGGCAGGCAGGCCTGCTGGATGCAGGGGGTTTGGGGAAGAGGTGAAGCAAGCTCTTCCCAGAACTTGTGGGGCAATAACGCAGCACTCTGGGGTGGGGAAGGCACAGGGTTGTGTGGTCATTGGAAGGCTTTTTTTCTAACATTGCAGACAGAAGGCTTTAAACCCTGCATGTATTCCTCAAAACCACTTGGCTGATAGTATAAGAAGTTATCCTCAAATATTTCAAGGAAAGAGACACTATGGTAACTACTGTTAAGTCGAGTTATCTTGTGGTGAAGCACTAGGTTGCTGAAATTGTTATGCTTTGACCTGTATTATTGTGTTGTTATGTCCTCTTTTATCTCAATCTCCCCCTTTATTTTTAAAAAAATTATTTATTTATTTATTTTTAATTAAGAGAAAAATTTAAAAATTAGCAGGATATATTATAGTAACTTTTTTTGATTTCCTATTAACTTGATTTGAAGCCCTGTATTGCTCCCACCATCTTGTTTTGACTGATTTTACTCTTTCTGTTCTGTTTGATAGCATCAAGTTTGAGGGTATAGGCAGCTACTTTGAAGGCAATAAGATTCACTATGATGCCCATTCTGGTTTGACTATTATTTTCTTTTGAAGTTCTGTAATGTCTCCAACGTTTAGGTTTTATTGGTCTTGTTCTGTACTGTTTTGTTCAATTTTATTATACCTAATGATATAGGCAATTCTTTTCAAGGTAGCAAGAGGCATTATGGTAATCACTGTTGATTACCTTGTATTCTGTTTTTACATCATGTACTATGTCCATCCTTTGTTTTGACTGACTGCTTTGT